AAAAAAAAAAAAAAAAAAAAAAAAAAAAAAAAAAAAGTTGAACCCCAATTTTAAGGGCCCCACTGCTCCGCTCTAGAGTTTTGTGAGGGAAGTAAATCGCGAGATGTGCCCTAACAAATTATGAAACAAGAGCTGCATATACACTGTGCCTACAAAGAGTTCAATTCCATGTTTCAAGAATCCAACCCTCACACTACAGCAGCCAGCAAGGCGTGAAATAACTTCACTCATGTCCTTTAAACCATTGAGCTATGCCCCGAGGAGCTATATGCGTTGCTATTTAACTCTATTAGAGTTAGAGTTTCAGTTTTAGTTTATATAGTACTACTATGACGTTAAATGATAAATGAAATTAAATATTTCATTTAATTCTACCTTTCATTTAGTTTATCGTCTAGTGCTATCTGAATTGAAATTTCAATCCCTATGAAACTACATGACATTACTCATATTATATGTATCACTTTCGAATCTATACTCTAATCATTAAGTAGATTAATCCAAATTCAAGAATTGATTCTATACTAGATTCTCCCTTCCAACCAAGTTTTACGTTATTTCCAATCATTTTCCCATCTTTATTTCTTGATCTACTCCCACAGTTTGATCTATTAAAAACATCCTCTGTGCGCGTTCTTCACAAGCTACACAATAATCAAATTATTGACACACACACACACACACACACACAAAAACCAACTTCATTTCCAAACCACAAAATGAGCCAAAAAGAGAGCAAAACTGGCAGATTCATTAAAGCACCCGTTAGGGTTTTGTCCAAAGCAAGGGATTTTTACGTCAAAAACATGTTGCGTTGTGCCGGAGAATTCACTTATGCCAGTGCCATGGGATGTCCAGCTCCACAACCCACGAGTTTGCCTAGAAGTTTCAGTGTCTCATCAGTGTCAAGGTCCGATGAAGACTTCCGGGAGCTTATTAGGGCTTCTTCTACCCGGAGCCCTACCGGGAAAACTGAGGCAGAGATTCTCCAGTCGAAACAATCACCTGGTGTTAAGGTTGTGCCTCGTTCCCAGACAGTTACTATTGGGAGGATTGATGAAGACAAGCCTTGTGAATTCATGGAAGACGTCGCGATAAATCCGAATTTGTATCCAAGAAGTAGAAGCTACGCACCTTCAAGAAGAAGTAAGATGTTCTGAACAATCATTCGAATGTATTCATAAGTGTGTGTATTTTTGAACAAGCCAAGGAAAAGAAGGAAGTTTCACAGTCAAATGAATCAAAAATCTTAAAAAATACATATGTATTTAAGAATTATCAGATTAGTGACATATATGATTATAATATCTATTTGAGAATATCAAAATCTTGAATATGCTATTTAAAGGAAATATTCAATGATTAAAAACTAGTTGATTGTTAGTTGATATGTATGGAATTTTCTTGATTTCATGATTCTCAGCACATTGAACATACTCTCTGACTTCAAAATTTCTTATTTGATAATATGGAGAAATTGTAGGATTTTATTTCCACGCGTATTAAATTCCTAAAATAAAAGGTTTACTTCATATATAATTTCAATCTCTTATCTAAAACTTTAGTAATTTATAATCGACATGTATAGTCTATAATACATTAAAAGTCGTATAAAATGAGAATCATTTTTTGGATTATTGTACTAATTAGAGACTAAAAATTTTATCTAATAATCTATAATCCATTTAATTGTGTTATAACCCAGTAAGTTTAATTAGAATTAATTCAAATCAAATCAAAGATAAAAATCCTCATTTTTACACACATAAAATGAAAATTTTTACAAAGTTTCAGGACTATTTATCCACTATATATAGACAATAAATGTTACTTTTTAAAAGGAAAAAGTAACTCAGATTCACTTAGCATTTCAGTTACTAATTGCAGTAACTGTTATATATTTATGGTATAAATATAAAATGTGAAAGAAATAATCAAATTAGATAAAGTGCCAAAGTGGTGGGAAATGTGACATTTGTGTGGGACGTCAGGGGTTCGAATCACTCCCCACGCAAATATTAAAATGTCTTGATTTGGGCCTTGGGGCCTTGGGCTCTTGGGCTTCCTTGACTAAAATAAATTTTTTTTTTTTTGGTTATTTAATTGGTAAAACTAGCCAGTATTTTATGACTGTTGGTTTTGTAACAACCCACTAACTGCCATTAAAACACCCACTACTCAGTCATTAAAATTCTGCATTAACATGGTGAAGACTGTTACTACCATCTTGCCTATATAAACCCATGTCTTGCTTTGGGAAAAGACACACAAAAAGAAAATAGAATCAATCACTCTTTTCATATTGTGAACTTCTTATATTCGGGTTTTTATACCTATTCTGGAGTACAATTGAGAGTTCTAGAAAAACCATTCGTGATTGCTGCATAAGTGGTTTACGATCGTTGTATCCTGGGAGTGATTGTCCACGGAGGTCACAGCAATTATTGACGGGCAATTTCACTTTAGGACATCGTGCTGTCACGAGACTCGATCGATAAGTTTTATATTTCTGCATTATATTGTTCTGATCACTGCTGCAACTAATTATTTTTCCAACAGTAACTAATTACCAATTTCTTTATTTTCTATTGAACAGAGTAATAGATGTTAATTACTATTTGCAAACAAACTGCAGTGAGTCTAAATGCTGAATTAAAACATAGATTAATTTTTTAAAAAATTTCTCCTCAAAGTGAAAAAGAATTAAGATTCAATTAAATTATTTTGAGTATTCGATCACGAAATTACATGATATTTATCTGGTAGGTATGCCTAACTTGTTTTGTGCTAATGACTTATAATTAATTATCAAAGAAACGTTCCAGGTGTAGATTTAAGTATCTAAGCTAATCGACAAATCATTTATAAAGATACGTTGTGCCTACCCACCGAACGATCTTGTAATAAACAGAAATTTGGATCCTCTATTAATTATATGTGATCAACTTGTACGCACTGAGAAATTCGGAATAACTACATCATCAAAAACTTATTTAGAGGTGGTTTAATAAAAGTTTTAACAGATTTTAATAAAAGTTAATGTAATGAGCGGTTAAAAATTTAATAAAAATTGTGAATTTCATTAAATGTATAGTAAAATTTAAAGCTGATAAAATTTTAACAAAAGTTAAAAACTTGATGGAACAAGCACTTACCTCACATGAAGATATTTATTTTTAATCAAATACTAGATTCATCAACAATTTTATAATTAAATGACAACAAAAATTGAATAAAAAAAATTTGTGTCCACATTGATACCATGTTTAGCCCCTTATCTAATAATAAGTTGTTAAGGGAAAACAAAATCTATTAATAGATAAATTATCTTCGTCCGTGATATGACATTATTGTTATCCTTGCTTGCCCATAAATGGAAGAATAACAATTTTATTCGGGGCACAAAATTAAACCCTAATCCTTCCAAGAAAAATATATTAGGAATTCCTCTTCCAACTTGTCTAAAAATGGGAGTTACCATAACTTAAGAGGCATTTTCTCTGAGGTACGATGACAAATCACTTGAATAGGATATCATTGATTGTATATACGTGTGTGTGTGTGTATGATCATAATAATATATATTTAGTTTATATTAGTTTCTTTATTGTTTAAATTTCCTAATTTTGTAGGTTTCCTTGTAATATATAAACGAATTTCATTCATTATTTACCCTAATTTTTGGTGGCTCAATAAGATCTCTTCTTCTTTGTGTCTTAATTTTTCTTCTTCTTTGATCGGTTTATCAAATTAATTCGTATTATTTTCAATAATCAAGTAGACATTTTAAAAATATATGGAGCAGATTTTACTTTTCAGTATTCGGATATCAAAGGAAGTCTCAACTATGACTCTTGGAAAGGCAGTGAAGAGTTTTAAGTTTGTGAGATGCTCGTATAAGTCAGGAAATTGGAAAGGAAAAAACATTGATAGAATGGAATTTCCTCCCAACTGTTAAAAACCGAGTAGATTTCTAGTTCTCTTCACAGCTGATACTGGGGAATTTTTTGCAGAAGTGAGGGAATTGTCACGAAGGTGGCAGACAAGGGAAACTCGGGAGTTTGCCTGGTGTCCTTTTCATTGTTGAGTGCACTTGATTCCTTAGCTGTGGATTGAAAAATGACATTGCATCGATATTTGTTGTTGGCAACCATTGCGAATATTATTACTATTCGAGGCACCAGCTACAAATCGTCACTTGGTGTTCCAGTAAGTTTTTTGATCGCCTGCCTATTATCTCCACACAACCATACACAAAGTACGAAATTCATGAAATTCTCTGCATAAAATGCGAAGAGGAAGATGTAGAAATGTCTGAAAACGCTATATGGTATAAACTTCATAACATCGAGCGCATTGGCTGGCGAAAAATGGAAGGTAAAGATTGTGGAAATAGAATATATATATACCGAGTACATATGTTGTTTTATGATGTGAAGATATCAATATCAAGACAGTAATTGATGAAAGATAACAAAAATACTATTTGTACAGAAATTTTCCTCACAGAAGACACTCAAATGGATGGGTCTCATGGTGTAATAAAAAAAGTCAAAAAAATCACCCACTCCCATTGTGAATATTCTGTGGCACTTCATTAAACAATGTTATTTGTACACACAACATTGTTGGAAAGATAAAGATGATGTCAGTGTCACAGTTCCAGGAATGTTTTGAGCATGGAAGTTGGGAGCATAAATATATCCTGTGTAATCTCATTCTCTTCATTATATTCCATATTTTAAATGGCGTCAATGGGCCAACTCGATCCTATTAGCCAGGAGCTCGGAAGCCGACAAATGAGCCAAGCTCGGGTTGGCCCTTGAGCTCATGAGCCGAGCCCACAAGCTCTGTTTTTTTTTTTTTTTTTTTTTTTAAGTTACCAAACGATGTTTAATCACTTTTTTACCAGCCGCTCGCTTGCTCAGCTCGATATATGAGTCCTCCACTCGGCTAGTGCTAAAGATCATCCCAACATGAGCTTGAGCAATCCATAGGCCGAGTTTCAACAAGCCAACAAGCTAATCGACCCTTTTGCCACCTCTTGACATTTGCACTAATCCATTGTAATGGGAAACTATTTTTATAGTTCATGATTTGAACAATTAAAATATAAGCTCCTAAAATTATTTCACGAGAAATAATCCGCTAAACATCGTTACTCGACAATAGTGATACGACATATCAATTAATTAGTGAATAAGTTTACGGTGAATCTCAACAATTAAATTAAATTAAATTTGTTGAATTGATATGTAAAGTCACCATTGCTTAAAATAAATTAAACAATGATGCTTAATGAACAATTTCTTATTACTTCTGAACTTGTTTTTACAGTGCGCCTTTTGGCTATGGTTTTGGAGCAGTTTTAAATTATGTAGAGAGGGCATCAAATTGAAGCATGAATTATAAACTCTAATTCTATTTCACTAAAAATAATCAATTTAAAGAAAGTAAATAAACAATCAAGAACACACAAGATTTATGGATGTTCGCTTCAATGTAAAACTAAGTCATCTCCCGTTGCTGTAATAATTATCTTTGATTAAAAAAAATTAATAAAAGAAAATATCAAGCATATCTCCTCTAACCTCTCTCTCTCTCTCTCTCTACTTGATGATAATATATAAAGCCTAAGGTGTAAGGTTCCAAATTTTATATGTTTTAAGTTGGTTAATATAACCCATTTAAGAAATGAACCATGAAGGTTCAGCCCGTTTAAGGTTATGAAAGCTCAAATCATGAGTTATTTAAAAGCCATAAAAATTTAAGACATTAAGTTTAAGTAAATTCGATTACAAAAATTTAGTAAATAATTGGATTGCCACAATGTCATTTCCATAATTGTTTACATAGGGAACCTAGGTTCGAATCAACATTCAGATTTTTCATAAAATTATTTTTGAGTTAAAAACTTATCATTTTGCACATTAATGACAATTATTTCAAATTAATTGGATAGAATAATTATTTTATTAGTGGGCATTGATAGAGATTGTTTACAAATCATATGAATAGTTCATTTTCCTTTATTTTTCATTATATAAATTTTTATAAAACTTTTTATAAGAATTATTTTTTTATGGACTTAAAACTCTTTAAATTCCTAGTTAAAAACTCAATTTAACAAGATTAATGATATAACTCTCTCATTTAGTTTTTCACTAAAAATGGAGGTTACAAGAAGAGGAAAGTCATTTTTTCACTAGTTATTTTTTCACTATATCTCTTCTTAAATCTGAATTTACTTTATTTTCTCTAAAAAATATCT